GGTTTCTCCCTTGTGTGGATTTGGTGATGGGCCCTGAGGGCTGAATTATTGGCAAAAGTTTTCCCACATTCATTATACTCATAGTGTTTTTCTCCTGTATGAATTTTCTGATGTGTGCAGAGGTTGTTCTTTGGGAGAAATCTCACCATATTCATTACATTCATAGGGTTTCTCCCCTGTGTGAATTTTTTTATGCACTATGATGGCAGCCTTATAGACAAAAGTTTTCCTGCATATGTTACATTCGTAGGGTTTTTCCCATGTGAATTCTTTCATGTTCACTGAGGTATGATTTCTGAGAGAAAGTTTTCCCACATTCACCACATTCATAGGGTTTTTCACTTGTGTGAATTCTACGATGTTTACTGAGGTGTGCCTTTTGACAAAAAGGTTTCCCACATTCATTACATTCATAGGGCTTCTTACCTGTGTGAATTCTATGATGTGCTCTTAGAGCTGAATTGTAGATAAAAGATTGCCCACATTCATTACAGTCATAGGGTTTCTCTCCTGTATGAATTATTTGATGTGCTCTGAGAACATCTATATGGGCAAAAGACCTTCCACATTCTTTACATTCATAAGGTTTCTCCCCTGTGTGAATTATCTGATGAGCTCTGAGGGCTGAATTATGGTCAAAACTTTTCTCACAGTCAGTACATTCATAGGGCTTTTCACCTGTGTGAATTCTCTGATGTGCTTTCAGGGCTGAATTATAGGTAAATGATTTTCCACATTCAATACATTCATAGGGTTTCTCTCCTGTGTGGATTCTCTGATGTGCATTGAGGTGTGTCTTTTGAGAGAAAGTTTTCTGACATTCAATACATTCATAGGGTTTGTAACTGGTGTGAATTCTCTGATGTGCTCTGAGATGTGATGACATGAAGAAAGTTTTCCCACATTCAATACATTCATAAGGTTTCTCCTCAGTGGGAATTCTCCAATGTTCTTTGAGACATGCCATCTTGAAGAATGTTTTCCCACATTCACTGTCTTCACAGAGATTCATCTTTGTTTCTATTCTCTTATATCCTATAAGAGGTGACCTGTAGGATTTCCCACAGTCATTGTTACCATAAGTTTTCTCCTTTGTGTGAATTCTCACATGTTCACTATGGCTTGACTTCTGACAGAAAGTTTTCCCACATTCATTGCATTCATAAAGTTTGAATCCCACATAAGCTCCAGAATGCTGAATAGAGTGTGAATAGGTGCTTTCCGGTGAAAGTATTTCCTGCATCTCCTATATTCACCAGA